ATGGATATTACTATGCAAGAAGGCGCCGAAGAGGAAGAAGAGTGAGTTTGGTTCTATCAAGACTGCGGGGCATGGCTAGCGAACCTGAGGGACATCGCGATGCCATGTAATTATTTGGAGGGTTTGACTAATGCGATGATAGATTCCCAGGAACTGAGGCCGCGAAACAGGAGAGTATGGCTGCAGGAAGTGAGAAGGCTGGACCACCGGCGACAGAAACAGATGGCAAAACTACCCATGTACCCTCCGCATCTGTGTCTGAGACTCCAGACAGCCCTTCGCCCGCATACTCGGAGAAGCCACCAGCTGTCCCCAGCCCTGCCGCATCGGGAACATCAACTCCAAGGCGTACCACACAGATTCCTCTCCGACCAGCTATCATGAACCAAACTGAAGAAGAGGCCCAAATGGCTGCCGCAGGTATCACAGAAGAGGAGAAAGAGTTGAGGAAGAAAGAGAAGAAGAAGGGTGGTCTTTCCAAGGCCCAACGTGACGAACTTGCAGCGTATGAGAGAGAACGTACTGCAGCTCGTAAAGAGCGAGTCGACACATTGGCAAAGAAGCTGATCGATCGTATCAGCATATGGACAGAGACAGATAAGGGACCTGATGTCACCAAGGCTTTCCAAGAGAAGACACGCCTCGAAGTAGAGAATCTCAAGATGGAATCTTTCGGTCTGGATATTCTCCATGCGATTGGTCAAACTTATCTTCAAAAGGCTACCGGACTGCTCAAATCCCAGAAATTCTTAGGCATTGGCGGTTTCTTCTCCAGATTAAAGGACAAGGGAACTATCGCAAAGGAGACCTGGAACACGATCTCTAGTGCTATCGATGCGCAAATGACCATGGAGGAAATGGCCAAGATGGAAGAAAGGGGTGGCGAGGACTGGACTGACGAGAAGAAAGTCGAATATGAGCGTCGCGTCACAGGAAAGATCCTCACAGCCGCATGGCGTGGAAGTAAATTTGAGATTCAAGGTGTTCTCAGGGATGTCTGTGATGAGATTCTCAATGACAAGAAAGTTCCCATGGCGAAAAGACTTGAGCGTGCTCAAGCTCTCGTTATTTCCGGTGAAATATACTCCAAGGTATATCTTTCCCATTCCCTGTGTCCACAATATTCGAGCTACAACTAACAAAACTTTAGGCTCAACGTAACCCAGAAGAAGAAGGCGATTACATGGCTTTCGAACAATTAGTCGCCGAGGCAGCTGCAAAGAAAGAGAGCAAGAAAAAGGGAAAGGATAAGAAAGAACATGGTCATCATCATCATCACTCACACTCGGATGCGCAAGCCGCCGCGGATGACTTACCTAACGTACCTAAAGCCTAGGATTAGGTGGAGAGATTAAACAAATCGGGTCAAATGGGAGGTAGGAGAGGGGCGGACTTTCAGTGGTAGTATATTATACCTAGCGAAGGGACTTCCTATCATTGCGTTAATCAAAGATCAAACGTCTTGATTAGGGTTGCAGTGTGCCAAGAGCACGATCTGTGGATTTGAGCGTGGGAGCGTAGTAAGTAGATGCCATGTGTATGCCATTGTGGTTATTTTGCATAGGGAATGGAAAGGAATGAGAATGCTAGACTTTCAAATTATATATGGGATTTCAATATTCGTTCTTGTTGAGATTGTCGATTTAAATTTGGCTATTCAACAAAGCTACGTAAAATAGGTGTAAAGAAAGGAAAGGAATGATTGTAAACACCCCAGTGAAATTCCTTCCCCGAGGGTGTATAGGATTTTATTCTTATTATATGTTATATTGCTTACATGAATGCCAACAACTGCAGCCCGATATCCCCATTTCGTAAACGAGTTGGCAACCATATCCTGTTTCCAATTGTGAAGTGGCACACTTGTTGAGGATGCGATACTGCAATGCATTCAAACATACGTGGAAACCTGCATCCAATCAATAGAGTTATTGAACATCTTATTCGAGTAGAAACCCCATTCTTTCACATCATATCACACATCAAACGCTCAGATGAAATAGTCATTAATACACATCCCATTATTTCCATCAACATCGTGCCCCTAAGTTATGGTACATCAATTAACAAATCTCAGGTACAAGGAAAAAGAAGAATTTGTATAAGAGTTCATTAGCGCCGCGCCGCGCTTAGCCAACTCGTGAGTTAAAAAGAGGTATCACAAAAAAGTAAAGAATTAGAGTTCCGCATGATCAAATGCAGGTGCAGTATTTTGCACTTCTGGGATACCTTTATCTTTCGGTGCGAAGTTTCCTTGTCTGATTTCGTTCAAAGCGACGTCGAATCGAGCTCCTGCAAGCCATGCTGCTCCAATCTAGATAAGTGTTAGTGGAGCTTTCATGGGTCTAGGGGGAAAAACATACCATAAGTCCAGAAACGACTATCAGGGTTCCGAATACTGCCAACATGAGGTAGAAGACATCTTTCTTGGCTTCTGCTTCCTCAGCCGCCGATTTTTTCTCTGCGACAGATGTTTCACCAGCTTGTCGTAAAGCAATCGCCTCAGGATTTTGAGATGGGAATATAGATTCAATGAATTGTTCGATCTAAAGGGAGTTAGTTTTGTATGTTTGTGTAATAGAATCAAATCACAAACCTTTCCGCATGCAATGCTGATCTTGAGGAAGTTGGGGTCCTTGGGCGAATTCTTTTTATTTATCCGTCTTGCATATCTCTTAAAGATATCACAAACCGTACGCAAATTCTGTGATGATTCCATCATCAATTGGCAAGCATCACCCTTTGTGATCTTGACATTCTTTTCAAAGATATTAGGATTCTGGAAAACAAGCTCTAAGGTTGCGATTGCCATGGCTTGTGGAATAGCAACAAAATTGAAGACACTCTGGTCTTTAATGCCTGCCATGTAAAACAAACATTCATCGGCATGGCGAAGAGAATTCAAAACCATTTCTGAACTACAATTCAAAGCAATTTGCCTATTTTTGGGGTCGAAAAGATCGTCAAACTTGTCGACGTGCTTCGACCAGATCTCCTTGGGCCAGAAGCGTCGCTTGTCATCAAAATCTTCCCGAATATCACGAATGATATTTGTCTTTTGGAGGAATTGACCCATGGATTCAGACAATTCTGGCTTGCCGAGTAAAGCTGGGTTTGCCAACTTGGCCTCGACAAACAATCTTGTCAAGCCATCTCCTACGAGACCGGCTACATAATGACAGTATAATTCATAATCCTTGATAGTGTTGACGCCATTGATGTTGTGCTCTGCATTGTTCGCGTAATCGGCCATTCCATTACCCATCTGTTTAGTAATGTCCTTGATAATGCTCTGGTATGCTGGCTTGCACTTCTTAAATTCAGTGATGACACAGTCAAAGTGAACCAAGAGTTCTCGATCCTTTTCATTTGGTCCGTTCTCGTTGAATGTCCATCCATCCTTCTCAATGATGTCGTCAAAAGCTCTCAACAGCGGTTCCTTCTTCCCTAATGGTATTGTCATATCATCTTCAACAGTATCCAAGCCTCGTAGAATCAAGTAGAAAAGGGCGACTGGCACAAGCAATTCGGGGTTCAATTCTTGGATGACCGAACTAAAACTTCGACTGGTCATCTCGAGGTATTTGAAGCAATCTTTGAGGGATTGAGGTTCCTTGGATGGATCTCTGATATGGACTGGGTCGTGCCATAGCTTCCTGGTTCGTGTGTTAGTGATGGCAGTTGAGGAGATGTACGAGTTGAGAATATATACCATTGTAAGATTGCTCTCAACTGATTTGGATGAACAGAAAAGTAAAGGAGATTTTTGACGAGACCCATGATGAATGAAGTAAAGATGACTTGACAAATGGATTATCAAAGTTTCTGAATACGCGGAATATGTGTAAGAGTTGAACTAAGTTGTTGTGGATTTTCGTTTCTCTGCGAGTTGATGTGCTCGATTGTATATGGGAATTATGAACGGCCACGGTAGTCAATTGTTGAACCGAGTCCGTCTATTGAAATTAGAATTGAATGAATGTATCTTGAGAAAGTCACAAGATAAGAAGATGGAGGTATCAATCCAATTTCAAAAAATAAATAATAGATAAATTGGGTGAACTGGGTGAATTGGTGAAATGTATCTGCCAGCAAATTTCAGGGTATTATTTATTGGGACGTGAATGGGGTAATCTGTACTGTCACCGCCCAATCTGTGCAGTAAAAAGGACGCTTTGGAGTTTAAGGACTAGTGACTTTCATACTTTGATGCATTCAAGGGGATTTGAAAGTTTATCTTGGAATAGGAAAAACTTCCATGTACGAAGATCATCATCGTAAGGTAATGTGATGTACCAAATGTGCTGGCTGGTACAGAGTCCGTACTGTACCTACATGCTGTCGAGGATGTTGATGAGAAGAACAGAAAGAAAGCAGTTCGGACAACTTGTTAGCCTCCAACCGGTCATATATACATACCTTTATACCTTTATACCTACATACCTACATATACATCTTTTCCACCCCTTACATCGGAGCTCTCGAGGCTCTCTTTTTGATAATATTGACAACCAACCCCAGATTCTCTTTGGTTCGGTGCAATGCACATCTTGCAGATCAACCAATTAGATCAAGGTAAGAAATATGTCAAAAAGGAGGCGATGAAATCTGTTAAACGGACGAGGCTGAGCAATGCTAAAATATCCCGCTCATCACCCGGTATACGACAATTTCATGGGTTATAATATAAGTACATTGTTATGCCACGACTCATAACACTCGAAGATTGTCATGATAACACTATCTTCCTCCGCATTCTAGGTTTCATGGCTTCTTATCTTTAACTCTTACCGCCAACCTAACCGCATTGTCCATGACCATATCACATAGCGCCTGTCTGTGAATTCCAGCTTGCCGCACGCTGAGCCATCGCCAACTGCAATCCAATTCGATCGACATACAATTGCAATATATACACTCGAGCGTTACCTCATTTGAGCTTATCAAAACAGGGCTTGTGGATATATCATTCTCTCAATCGCAACTCGTGAATTTCAGTAATGGCCGCCGACATGGAACCTTTGGAGAAAGATGTGGAACAGGCAGAGTCGAAACCGATGATTGGGGAAGAGGCACACAACGATAGATATGAGGGCAATGAGGGGAAAAGAAAGAAGGGTCTGGCGAGTAAAATCATCGATATTGCTTGCATTGGGTTGAATATCATCAGCACAGTAGTTCTTGTTTTTCTCAATAAATGGTTTGTGTAAACTCTATCCTTGATGCCAAAACAAAAGATCTAATGACAACGTAGGATCTTCAAAGACCCTCAGCTGCGAAATATGCAAATATCCTTTGCGATGTGGCATTTTACATGCACAACCATTGTGTTATGGATAGCTAGTCGTTCTTCCTTCAAGCTTTTTGTCCCTATACGACTGCCATTTCTTCAAATGCTTCCATTATGCTGCTTCTTCGCGGGCTTTCTCATACTTGGAAATTTGAGTTTAGCATTCAACTCTGTGGGCTTCTATCAGTCAGTTATTCTCTCCGTTCTTCCAACATTCCACTAATTATCATCTTCAAACCAGACTCGCCAAAATAATGACCACACCCTGCGTGGCCCTTCTCCAATACGTCTTCCTCTCCAAAGCCGTCTCCGCGCAAACCATTCTCGCCCTCGCCAGCGTCTGCGTGGGTGTAGGTCTAACTAATACTGGAGCCTCAGGAACTACCACATTTGGCGCATCCATTGCTATTGCTGCATTTGTAGTAACTGCATTCTATCAAGTCTGGATTGGCAAGAAACTCACCGATTTCAAAGTCTCTTCTCCACAACTTTTACTTAATCAAGCCCCGATATCCGTTTTGATTCTGGCGTTTTTGGCACCGTTCTTCGATACAAAACCAGATGTGTCGGTTATACCGAGGGATACACTTATTGCATTGGGTTTGAGTGGATTGGCGGCTGCATTGTTGAATTTGAGTCAATTCTTGATTATTGGAAGGATGTCAGCATTGACATTCAATGTTGCTTCCAAGTATGAACCCCTTTCCTATTATCTTACATCCAAACGTCATGTGCTAACCCGTTCGTCTAGTGTCAAAACAATCATAATCCTCACCTACGGTTTCATGAGCGAAGGTCGAGTCCTCACCATCAAAGATTCCATGGGCATATTACTAGCTTTGGGCGGTGCAACAGTATATAGCCAGCTTTCACAACGATGAGAGAAGCGTGTTCTAATGTATAACGAATCTTGAAGCCATAGGTGAAATCCAGGCGTCGGAGCATGAACTAGGTGTTTGGTATGTGAAATCTTCAATCTTTGAATTGGATAGATAGAGAGATAATTCAAATAACATTTACTGTTTTAAATGATGAGCGGAATGAGATTACTGAAAAATATCTGGCGGAACCATTAGAAGCGAAAAGCTCACGTCGGACCTATCTATACATGTCCGGGTGTGATGAATTCAAGTATGTAAATCTAATTGGGGATGAATGAGTATTCATGTGCAGTTTCAATAATCGGCAGCTATGTGGATGTTCTAAGCGGATAGAGTAGCTCATCGGTGCTCAATACAATTGCATCAAAACATCCATCTGCCCCGCTGTGATCCTATTATTTGAAGGTGGTGATTTCACGAGTATAAGATGAGGGGTTCATATCATATGACCTCTAAGTAAAGATTTAAGTATCCGCCATTCCACATTTAACTTCAATTGAGCACCACAGAGCAATATAACTAGATGGGTAGAGTTTCGAAACACGGATAAAGTACCTACGTACACATGAGATCGATATCAAATACACCAAAAGCTCAGAGTTCCACTTCCAAATGGTGATATCCATTGTGTTGTTTTCAAATATACATTTCTAAACTCCTTACGCCTGATGCCTAAACCAATTAGATAATGCTAAGGTGTCAAAAAGACAACATGAAGAAAGACAACAGTGTATACTACGCTAATTCATTATATGTACCACAACCCATTTACCATATCCATATCATACCAATCATACATTCTACATGCAGTATCTATTCCTCTCGACCGAACTCAGCATCAATCAATCCATCCACACCGTGTATCAACCATCGGTCGACCAACCTCATTTACCGTCTCTCTACCAACAAGAAATGCATCGCCACATATGCTAAGAAGATAAAGGCACCAGCGAAAATAGCGAGATTGATTGCATCTGGCCAGAATGCCTGTGTGTTGAATCCGAAACTGCTCAAGATTACAGCGCCGGGAACGGTGATGTCGAGTTTGTATTTCTGATCCACGAGTGTCAAATATGTGACTTCATTGACAATCAAGGATTCGAAGCCGTAGTGGAAAATCGATAAGGATTGTAGCCAAAGAGCGGATTTGGGGATAGCATCATGGTTGAGTAGAAGACCGGCAAAGAGGAGACTAAATAGCATGACAAGACTTCCGATGAGACTTGCAACGCCGTTATCTTTGAAGACAATACCAAGGAAGAGACAGATTGCGGCCGCTGCAAGATTGAAGAGGACGAGGATGAGAAGAAATTTGAAGAAATTGGGAGCTTCAGCTACAAGTCCAGTCATAGGGTATAAAATAGAGCCCATAATGAGAGGAGGAATAATTCGGAGTGGTACGATATCGAAGAGAACTTTGGCGAAAAAATACGTGACAGGAGAGTAGTAGCCATTTGCTCTTTCTCTGACAAAAACCATTCGCTCGGTAGCAAAGACGTTCAGACTGGAGAGGGTACTGAAACCGAAAAGCGCCAGAATGAAGAAGAAAAGTCCCAAGCGATTTTGGAATCCCGGAATGTCGTCTGTCAGGCCATAAAACAAGAATCCAGAGAGTACAGCCAACAATATTGCGATTGCGTAGTGTGTCAACATCAACATCGGATTTCGGTAAAGATTGCGCCAGGTACGTTGTGAAAGAATAACAAATTGTCGAAGGTATCCAACTCTTGCATATCCTCTGCCCATCGTAGTTGTGGCCATTGCGCTGTTATCCTGTACATGTCCATTCGTGGTTCCATTGGCATTTTGAGCGGCGAAAACAGCATTTTTGAGGTCATCCTGAAGATCTCTGGCGATTGGAGATTGTGCATAAGAAGATACCAGAACATCCAAATCTGAACCAGATCCAGGTGCATCAGGTGGTAAATTATCTGGATCTTCGGCAATCGATGAATGTTGTCTTGACATCCTAAGCCAATGCTGATTCGCCTCTGGGTCTACAGGTGCCTCATCAGGTTGAGAAGTAGGAGTCTCGACTCCACTCTTCTTACGAGTGAAAAGTTCACGTTCTTGCTTTGCCCTTACAGAGTCACGACGTTTGCCCTTAGGTCTTAACAAGGACTCGCTTGGGCTACCAACAACAGGCTCCTCAATGCTACCGCCAGAGATGCTTGCAATTGACTTAACCGCTCTAGTGCTGCTTGCTCCAACGCTTGGTGTAACACCGTGTCTGAAATCGGATGTAGTATCATCAATCGGGGTACGAGGTGTACCAACATGCATTGTCAAATCAACCAAGTAGTCGGCAATGTTGAATCCAGGTGGGCAGGCGTAACCAATATGATCGAAGTATTCTTGACAAAGATTGAACTCACCAGAATAGACCGTTCTCCCTTTTGCAAGAAGGAGTAATCTATCGAACAAAGCCACAATGTTGGATCTTGGTTGATGAATGGTAAATATAACCGTTCTTTTATAGTCCTTAGCCAGGTTGACGAGACATTCGATGACGTTGAATGCGTTGTATGCATCGAGACCACTAGTTGGCTCATCGAGGAACAGTATGCTTGGACTGGTAACCAATTCACAAGCGATTCCAACTCGACGTTTTTCACCACCAGAAATACCGCGACCTTTGCCATCCTCAGAACCAATCAAGGAATCCTTGATATGAGAGATACCAAGCTGTCGCTCAACTTCAAAGACTCTCTGCTCCTTGGCTGATCTTCCCATGTCTCTTGGCAATCTCAAAAGAGCGCTAGTCATGATCGTTTCGTGAACGGTAAGAGTAGGTAACATAGCATCTTCTTGATCAACAAACCCAATGACGCTTCTGTATTCGTTATCTGTGACCTTTTCGCCATTGACATAGAAATTTCCTTGAACAACACCTCGCTTATTTTTACGAGCAAGAATGTCAAGAAAGGTGGTTTTACCAGCTCCAGATGCACCCATGATGGCCATAATCTCGCCAGGATGAGCTACACCTTGAACACCAGTCAAGATCTGCTTTCCATTTATATTGTACGAAACATTCTCGAAGTATAGGGAGGCGGGCTTGTGATCGGTCATTAGCTTGATGCTCTCGTCATCGGAATCGTCTAGATGGATAGGGCCGTATTTGAATTGCCTTCGAGACAAGTACCAAACTAAAAGAATAACTCCAACGACAAACAGAGATGCAACAGCAATGACACCTGCGATCAAAGGCGTGTTGATTCTTTTGATAGGGCGTTCGTATCCTGGAATCTCAGTTTCGTAAAGACATTCTCCCGCCTGACAATTGATAAAAATGCTGCTATCTCCAAACATTTGTTGAATAAGCAAGTCCATTTGAGGCTCCTTGAAAGTACATTCGTTGCTACCATCCTTCTGCTCACAGTTGAAGGTTGCAGGGCCTCTAATTTCTTGGTCGAGGAAGTCCGAAATGTCAACCGATCCGTTTTCACCGCAAAGCATTCGGTCCGGAACACACTTGCAAGCAATGTTTTCACATTTTGCGCTGGTCGAGTTGCGGTCATAATCGTTTTGCGCGCCCGATGTACAAGTATCCAAGGAACAATAAAACGACTCTCTCTCGTCGACCCAGAACTGGAAGTCGCAGGTCTCTACTTCAGCGTTGCAGGTGAAAGTAACCTGGGGCTTCTTGCCATCCAAGATATCCAGAATCTTCCTGTTTGTGACGTCGCACATCTGGTAGTTTTCCTTTACAACCTCGCCATTTTGATAACAGACGCCTCCTTCTTTTTCTGGCATTAGAGCATTGCATGCCTTGTTGTTCGTGCAGACATTGCAGTTGATTCCTGTCCAGCCATCTTCGCAAGCGCATGAATCTGTCGTTCGCATAGGTCGATCCTTTCCATCTGCCAAAGAGCCACAAACTATTAAGAGTCAGTAAAATGTTTTCCAGTGTTTGAAGCAAGTTTGGCTAACCTGGCTGGAGACAGTCATCGCCACCGAATCCTGGTGGACAAGAGCATTTGCCATTATATTGATTGCAGTCAGAATATTGTCCGCAAGTAAATGCGGGCAGTAAACAATTAAAACTGTATTCAGTCAGCAAGAGATTCTGGCCTAGAAGAAGAGGCGCAATACCAAGGAGGACAATCGTCAGGTCGGTCGTCCATGAGAGCTAATTGGGCTTTCATCGAGTCTATCGACGAATAATTCGCGAAAGCGTGCGCGTTCCATGATAGAGACAGAGTGGCGAGGACTACAGTCCCTAGTTGAAGTCGTTTCATCGTTCGTGAATGTTTGCGAAAATCGCGATTGTTGAAAGTGGGAGCTTGCTAATGGAACCAGCTTAATGCTGCGGTGAAGCGACGACTCTTGATGCCATGTAAAGTAGATTACGTAGAGGATCCGAATAATACTTGGAACGAACAAATAGTAGTGAATTTCAAAGAGAGGAACTAAAGAGAAATGCCTGCGTGGTAACTCAATAAGATGCTGAATGAGAGAATAACAAAATTAATAATAAACAAAATGAAGCTTGTCATCAAGTAGTGAAGAAGAGTTGATTGAACAGCTTAGGTAGATGTCATATCATTCATATTCGCGTTCATCGGAGAGAGTTTTAGCTTGTCCGTCTCCTGTCCTGTCCGCCCTAACAAGAATAAGCGGGGATTGATAAAACCTGGAGCAAAGGCGAGGCAGCTGTCAGGAACCAAAAGATAAAAAGATAAGCTGGGTGGTTTGAGAATGGATTAGAAATTACGATTACATAGATTTAGATGTATATGTTTGTTCATGTACCGTTCATATCTCAAAGTGGTGGATGGACATGGAAAGCTTCATGAAGATCCATTCGACCATCTTTCAAGTCGAAAGCTTCTATCAATCCTCATGTATACATACATGTTAACAAGACTTTCCAAAGTTTCTCTATCTTACCTAGGTATATCAATGTACAATGGATGTACTCAATCAGCACAGTACCTACGTAAAGTAGAGTATGTCAGGGCAAACGTTGTGTCTAAGCTTCACAAAATCTCCAACATCCTATTGGTTCTGATTCCTCACTCTTTCCTGGGGATGGCCGAGGTTTAACAATCTCCACAATGCAATGTCATCCACGCCCTTCAGATATACTCCATATGACAACTTATTACTATTGCAATATTGAAAATGTAGGTTTGTTGAATATATATAAAGCGAAGATGTCCAATTCAAATGCCAACATCTCTTAGTCCTCTCTTCTAGACAATACTCTCCAACCCATATACAATATACCATCTCAAACATGGTCAAGATTGAGCCTTTCGCCGTAGAACAAGTATTACCCCTCCATTCTCCACCAAAACTGAAATATCTCTAACATTCTAACTCCAGTGGATGGACAAATATGAGGTCACACCTGGGGTTCTCAATATTGCCGAGACATGTGCAGCTTCCATCTCCATTGACGATCTCGTAAAGCTATCCGAAGATCCAAATCTGCCTCATCCAATATCAACCTCGACCAAACTCACATACGGACATATCCGTGGATCGCCCGCTCTTCGGGAACGTCTAGCGTCTCTTTATTCCGCTAGAACTAGCTCGCCTCTATCAACAGAGAGTATACTTCTCACGCGCGGTGCCATTGAAGCGAATTTCCTCACATTATATACGTTGATTGGCCCTGGAGATCATGTAGTTTGTGTGCATCCAACTTATCAACAACTATACTCTGTTCCACAAAGTCTCGGTGCGGAGGTCTCGCTATGGAAGTTACGCAAGGGAAAGAAGTTCATTCCTGATCTAGAGGAGCTGAAGCAATTAGTCAAAGATAATACCAAGATGATTATTATCAATAATCCAAACAACCCCACAGGCGCTACAATTCCAAAGTCCGTTTTACAAGGCTTGACGGAGCTTGCGAGAGAAAAAGGAATCATTATTTTGAGCGACGAAGTTTATCGACCATTGTTTCACGGAATATCAGTAGCTGATGCAGAATTCCCTCCATCGATGGTATCCATGCCTTACGAGAAAATCATAGTCACTGGCTCCATGTCAAAAGCTTACTCGCTGGCTGGTATTCGCATTGGTTGGGTCGCATGCAAGGACAAAGCTATCATCGAAGCTCTCGCAGAAGCTCGAGATTACACCACTATTTCTGTTTCGCAGCTGGACGATCAAGTTGCCTCTTATGCCATGAATCAATCTGTCATCCACGCACTCCTTGGCAGGAACATCAAACTTGCCAAAACCAATGTGGCACTTGTAGATGCTTTTGTCAACGAACATAGCGAAAACCTGTCTTGGGTTAAGCCAAATGGTGGCACTACAGCCTTTATCAAAGTGGAAAACAGAAGGGAGCCAGTGGATGATGTACAATTCTGTGTGGATGTTATCGAGAAGACCAAGGTTATGTTCTTGCCAGGTTCTAAATGTTTTGGCGAGGAATTTAAAGGGTATGTAAGAATTGGATTTGTGTGCGAGACGGAGGTCTTGAAAGAAGGTCTGCAAAAACTGGGAGGATACATTAGGGAATATCTTAAGTGATAAATACCCAGTAATGAATAGAAATTATGATGATTCAAGAAAAGTTTCAAATTAACACAATATTGTAATGAATGAGAACATTGTTCTTACTTAGTGCACCGTTATAGTGTTTCAAAGCGCATTTTGATTTCATGGCGAGGTGAGCTACTCATTAGACTGCAGTCCAGACCACTAATAAACATGGTTCCCAATGATCCCGACTAGTAGACTGATTGTAAACTCTCAATGTTTGGGCGCAAAACAATGTTTAAATTAAATGCAAAGATGCAAATTTTCTAAAGCAAGTGGAGGATTGAAATCATGAGAACATTCAAATTGAAATCATCATCCAAAGTGATCGGATCACCTAATTGATTCAGGTATTTGAAAGCTTTACATTAAATTGTCGGGTTACACTCTGAACAGGTCAACAAAAACGCTAACTATGAACAACTCATAACTAATAAACTCATCTCAACATCGTTTATTCACGTACACAGAGTCATACATTCATCAGCAAGAGAAGAGAACACACCATGCATCCGTATCAATATTGAAATTCTTTCCTAATCTTTGTATTCTCCATTGGGTATAAACATATATCTAAAGCATAATCATAGTCATAAGCAAACAAACATCGCAATTCCTCCATCCCTCATTGTCATTATCGTCTCTCTTTCCTTCATCTTCCTCGTCGATTCCCTGCTGTCAAACCAAAGCCTCCCATCATTATTTGTTCATCAATCATTGCCCACATACCCGCTTTCCTAGCTCGCATCTCTCCCCAAAGACAAACACAAAAGACATAACCCTCCAACTCTGATACCTTCTCGCCCTCAAGAAATCTCAAGAGCCATTCCCTTTCCCGCCACACCAAGCCCATTCATTGCAACCCCCTCCTTTCCCCCAGAAGAATAACAAATCTCTCGAAACTTAATTCCCTCCTCCCCATTCCCATCCGCACACTCAAATCCCGTGCTTGCATTCTCCCGTCCCGCTTTCGCACTGCTCAATCCAATCATACTTTTAACCTTTCTCATTCCCTTGATTCGGTTCAAGCCACCCATCGCGATATCCATGCCGTCCATTTCAATCTCCATATCGTCTTCAAATTCAACGGCACTTCCATTCAACGCCTTGCCTACGGAAAATCCAGCAATGCCATTTCCGCTGTTGACGGAAGCTTCGAGTGCAGCGGCCCTTGCCATGGCTTTGCTCGTCTGCACACCATAGGTATAGAGAGCGGTGAAAACAAGAGAAGTTCCTAGCATGACGTGGAAGGTGTAGAGGATATAGAGGGTGATGGATTTAGAGCTGAGGAGATAGGCGAGGTTGGAGAACATTTTTATTGATGTAGGATTTGTATTTTAAGGGGTACTGTTTGTGATTTGAGTAGTAGATTTATATGTGTTTTGTTGTAGAGTATGGTTGATACTCGAAGTCGAAGTCGAGGTTGATGATGGGAGTAAGAAAGTGTATGTTTGTTGACCAGGGAGTTGTATGAGGAGATTTGACAAAGTGAATTGATAGTAATTGATGATGGTATTGTATTTCTTTTCGTGAATAGTTGGTAAGGTTGAAGTTGTAAATTGTAAGTTGGATAAGGAAGATTGATGTTGAGTGAGTTGAGTCGAGTTATATGTAGAGCTTCGGAAAAGGCAAGAGCAGATCACTTATATCTATACTTCTTGATTCTTGAAGAACGCGCGGTACCAGGAAAAGAGATTTTTTTCTTGATTAAATTTTTTCAAAGCATTGCCGGGCCATTATTTATTGATTGTTGTGATCTCCCTCAACCCCATATTCTGAAGTCATCGTGAAGTTACTACGATTAATGAATTTCTCCTTGCAAGGAACATGCTCGCAATTTCATTCATGCCCATAGAACCAGCAAATCATCCCATAATTTTTAGGGAGTGAAACCCCTCAAGCGAGCCCAAGTGCCAGCACATCCCTCGCGTGAGAGGAAAAGACACAGCCTTATTTCAGGGGTAGCCACGGTAAATGCATTCATGTCAATAATATGAGCCGCGAGTATAGGGCTTAATTTTCAGTGCATGAAGCACTTTTCAACGTCGTCTAATCTTCTCGCCGAGTGCACTACGTCAGTGCGGAGTCCTTCTGGAACATCTGAAAGAAGGGCATGGTGATAGGAGATCGTGAGGTAGAGATGAAATCGTAGGAGGGGGAAAATAGAGTTTGTTAGTAAGGGTTGAACGGCATTGACGACCTCAAACTTCAAATGTTACCCAGCCACCACAATATATCGAGTTCACGACTCAGATGCTTGGCCATCATCTATGTATTATGGGGGATAATAGAGTGCATGTTTGATGGAAGTAATATTATATGATGGGTAGTTCGTCGTATGTTTGGCGGTTGGGCATTCATCCCTTCAGATCGGCGGGTCTGAGTGTTTCGTAAGATATTCGACCTCCTGCCATTGACTTTTCATTGATATTCACATGACTCATTAACATTGATTTGGAATACCCAATTCCCATCAATGAATTTCGAATGTTTCCAGCTCATATAGTCCGTTTTTAACTGCTCGAATCCCTTCTCCATACATGAAGCCATCGATATATGCCTCTCCCACGAGAATGTAGCGATTATCAGTCTTGCTCAATATGACAGGAAATCTACAACCTGGAAGAATGCAGATCAAATCATTTTTGGAGCAGTTCCATGGTCCAAGTCCAATGATTCCTGTGTCGGAAATGATGAAGCGGCGTCTGTTCATTGTCCAACAAGCGGAGATAAGAAGTGCTAAGCGTTCCTTCTCATCGAGAGTTTCCTCATTCGTTGAGACAGAAGATAATGGAAAACTGAGCTTGGGTAGTTGTTCCGACAATATTGTTGCAAGGGCCTTCATTCGAATGGCGTATTCGGTGTGATCGTTGAAGGTCCAATTGCCACAAGAGATCGTTCTACAGAATGCTCCTTGCTCTCCTAGGGAGGGTCTTCTCTTAGAGACAACGATACTCCACCATTCTTGTAGAACCTTCAGACCCCTACCATTGTTATCTCTAGAGTTTAATTCTCTTCTGAAGGACAAGCCTGTCTTTTGGACTCTCCCTAAGATGACACCAGTAGTTCTCAAGACATATCCATCTTGAAGAAATTGCACATTGGCATAACTGTCACCGGAAGCCATAAACTGAGGTTTGCTATGTTGAAGTCCAATTATTGTGGGCTGGCGGCTTTGGGGAGGTCTTGTCCAGTTCGGTACCCATGAAGGAAGACCGTCATTGTCGGGCGCCGTTTGATTTCTTTGATTGACACATATAACATCCAGTCTTCGAGAATCCTGAATTATATGTCTCGCAGTGTGTGTATATACACGTCGTATTGACAATGAACAATCAATTTTACCAAAAGACTCCCGTGATTTTGATATCCCTACCAATGCGTACACTTTATCTTTTGGGTCTGACGACTTCTTACTCTTGTGAGAAAGCAAAAGCTCAAAGAGAGGAGAGGTGACCGCATCAGGGGCCTGATCTCTTGATACTTGCAAGCTCTTTGGCCCCCCAGTGGTGAGAGTTCGTACAAATGATGGTGATTTCAGGTATATCGACAACAGTAAGTGTTCTTCTCTTTTTAATATATCGCAGGTGTTACAAAGCTCCATTATGGGTATACTCTCGTCTCCGCAGAGTACAATTGCTTCTTTGGCACAGGCAACTTCTTGAACGACCCATATCCTCCACCAATACTGCCGACGAAAAAGTGTTATTAAAGCCATCAACTGATCCTGTGTTGGCGGGTCATGGAGCATTTTTATCACTTGATTCCTTGTGGCCTTGTTCATTTTTTTGGCCAATCGGATGGCTAGAGAGCTATTGTCCTTCTCGGAACCAATCCAAACAGGTACAGATTGTGCGTTTTGAAAAATGGTTCTCATCTTAGCTATTTGATTATTCCGCTCTGGTATATTGTTCTGGTCAATACAGATGGCATCAACCCACAGAAAGCTTTCGTCATTTTCTCCTTGAGACCGTAATCTCCTCAAAGCTCCAATGAGATTATTGGACGCGGAAAGGCGTTTTCCATTAACAATCACTGACTCTGGGGAAATTTTGGCACCCCAAGTATACGAAAGTGCTCGATAATTAGGAGCTCTGTGCAAAGCTGTGTGGATAAGCCGACAACATATAACGTCGTCTTTCGAAATTGAGGGAAGGAGTCGCAGTAACCGGATCTCATCTAGGCCATGTTTCAATTCCTTGTATTGGAATGAGTCAATTGGTTGGTTCATCTGTATGATACTATGTTGTTGTATAAGGATGAGAATGATCTCTTTTGGTTGATTGTGTAGCCAAGGAAATCGGTGAAAAAAGTCTGTCAATGCCGAAGAGGAAGTCTCATGATACTATTGATGGGCCACACAAACAAGTTGATCGATCCTCTATTACAACCTGGAACTGGAAACTTATATCGGGGCCTTCATTTTATTGCTATTTGATCGATGCGCGACAACTCCAACATACTATAACCATAGCAACGGCTAATCAAGGATGACAGAAAGTGGGGGTTTGTAGGATCCATGAATAACCTTATCTTGAGCTCACCGTTGTTTTACACTGTATCGATCCGGAATCTTCACCATATTCACAGATGTACACGAAATGATACACTGGCCTAAAGGTTCACGTTAATATTCTTGGGCCATTCCGCTCGAGTCGAATTTTCCCTTTCTTGCCGCCTCGCCGGCTCATTTCCCTCCCCAGGTTACCTATGTTCATCTGACCGTCAAACCAAGTCGCTTGTCGATGGACTTTTACCCTAGATAGGTAGGTAGGTAGGTAGGTAGGTAGCTGAGTAGGTAGGTACCTAGGTAGGTGAGTAAATCATAGCATTTGTCAGAATCACGCATTTAGTCCAGTTGTGCAACCATGATGAAGTAATAAACATTTGTCGTTCTACCAGTAGACTAAAAGTCAATGACGTTGGTGAGATATCCCCGCATCGACGCATCCCCACTACTCATGCTTTGTTCGTATTCTTCACTTCACTTCACCTCTCCATTCTCTATCAAAGTGAACATTTCAAATCTCAAATTTCAAAGATCTCCAGTCCATTTCAATTGTTTCGAGCATTATCAAGGATAAACCCATCATGTCTTCCGATTTCTATCTCGAAGGCACCCCAGATGAAGTCAAAAATGCGAAGGTTAGTTGCTATCGAGTTGCGTACCAAACTATACAGCTGACTGAGATAATGAAGGGACTTCATCTTGTAACAATGTCAACGCCCAATGGCAAAAAAGTTCAGATTATGCTCGAGGAGTTGAAGGCGGCATATGGAACCGAATGTAATGAGCGGCCATCTGTAATGAAGTGTATAGAGTCCTTGCTAAGAAAAAAATCAGACACCCACACTCTTATTAATATCTCAACTAATGAGCAAAAGAAAGACTGGTTCTTGAAGTTGAATCCGAATGGTATGTTATCATAGAAAGCTGTGTGGGAGGTCGATGCTTAGTATATATCTTGCAGGTCGAATTCCTATTCTGATCGATAACACCAAGACACCTCCATTTCCTGTTATGGAGACCAGTGCAGAATTGCTTTATCTCTTAAAAGAGTTCGATAACAAGGATCTTTTTGGATTCAAGGACGAGTTGGAGAGAAACGAATGCCTTCAATGGCTGTTCTTCTGGCATGGTAGTGTAAGGTGTTCGTCGCCCTGAAAATACTTCCCGGCTAACTGTTTGATAGGGTGCCCCGGTAAGTCCGCGCATGGAGATATTATCTATACCATTGTTGTTTTATGGAGGGTTTCTGAACTCTCCGCATTCTCTAGAAATTCCATCTAAATTCATGATGTTTTAGCATTGCTAATGACCTCAATTTGTAGTACCAAGGCCAAACGAACTACTTTTCCAAGGTTATGAAGGGGAAGAGTCCAGGTTAGTAGCCATTTAACTTCATGCACAGCATTCAACTAAGATCGGTGGATACATAGAAGCTTTAGAGAGATTCAAGAACGAGACCCTGCGCGTATTTGGGGTGCTCGAAATTCGCTTGTCGGGCAAATATACTGGTGAGCCTCGTGATTACTTGGCTGGCAATGGAAAAGGAAAATATTCCGTTGCAGATATTGGAACTTGGCGTAAGTTGTCTCGACAATCTGTATGGTGCCTTCGTTGACAATGAATTTCAGCATGGTTAAGTGCATGGGAGTTCTCTGGTGCATTCACCAAGGAAGACATGAATGCATTCCCGCATCTATTGAAGTGGATTGATAGAATTGCTGAGGTTAGTAATGCCCATTCGAACGATGACTCTTGCTAACAACATTAGCGACCTGCCGTTCAAAGTGGAATCTCCAAAAAATGGCAAAATAAGTGAATTCAGTTGCCCATATAGTAGTGGTTAGGTCATTCACATTTGTCATGTACTTGCAATAGCAGAGGTAGTTCTATGCACTTATTAGAGCGAATTAAGAGATCTGAAGAACCAATTATTATTGCTTCAACTTTTGAAAGTGTGGATGTATCTGTGATCTTCTATCTTAATTAGGCTCTGACCCGATCAAGAGATGCTCTATTGAAAATGTGCTCCTTGAAATTTCGGCACTCAAGCTCTCATTCTGTATGATCAACCTAACTGTCACACCTGAGAACATGACTTCTGGATGCGCTGCCTGCTTACAAACACTCTTTCATCGCCTACTCATCTCAGTAGTTGAGACATTTGAGAATTTAATTCTTGACGTGAGTGATTTTGATGCAAATGAATCAATTGACTATATAGTTGCCTGTTTACTAGCGTTTCAACGAGCTACATAAAGTTCGGCTTCCGGCAGAAAACTTTCTTCTCCTGCAACAACAAACGGCAAACTTCCCGTATTTCCAGCATGGGAGACTCCTGTAATTTATTTGTGTCACTTGCTGCTTTGCAGGTGTATTTTAACTTTATCTAGGTACTCTTCAAAGGTGCTTTCCATGCGGTTGTCAATGGTGCTTCTTATTTGCTGCCGTTTCGTTTTTGCTTTTACTTTTTCTTGCGTGTGTTTGCTGTCAAACATGTCTACCTAATAATAATTATCTTCGACAGGACATGATTTTGCAGCTATACTTTCCTTCATAAAGAGAGAAAGTGTCCTATCCCAAACTAGGGCAGATACGCTCTTGTATCTAGAATTTTCAGCGACGAGAAATTACTGCTGTCCGTGGACGTGCATATAAGCTCATTTCTCCTGCAGTTTCATGAGAAGCAACTGATGAAGTTGACAAGAAGAGTAACTTCCGAATATTGAATTCCCAACGCAAGTACAGAAAAAAATGCTTATTAGCTCGAACTTTTAAAGCGCCCCTAATTTCACTTTTGGTTAAGCACAGGAGTCCCTCCTGTTCCAAAATTACAACAGAAATAAATTTTCAAATATTCACCGTTTCTCCTCCCTCATTTCTCCACCTTGAATTGGACATTCGATCAGCCATCACATTAATCAATATTTATTTCTTATAAAACTCTATACTGTCTACTTTCTTTCCATTTCACATTTGAAAGCTACTCAACCGCTCTTCTCCACGGATAGAAACACACATATCCAACTCATCTAACGTTGCTCATCAATGGATGCCACGGCTCCTCACACACTCCCACTGGCAGAGGCCAGTCATTTTGAAGAATGGTTTAGAATAGCTATGATGTGGAAAACTGGAAAGGTAAGGAACCTTTAGCTTGCCTTGTACCACAACCTCCATTAACCAGCGCTATTATTGCAGAGTTACAGATGTGTATCCCCAGCCAAAGAAAAAAAGTTCGATGAGAGCAAGAGAGAGCTGGCAGGAATCTTAACACCGCCAGCTTCTCCCTCAAAGCCAAAGTCCCCATCTTTCTTGGAATTTCCAGTGTCGACCCGAAAAAGCTCGATCACATCTTCTCTGGTCTTTCCTGTTCCTGAATCATCGTTGTTGGCCCCACTGTGCCTGACGCCACCAGTGTTAGTTACATTGCCCGATTCAAAATCAGGAATTGATTCAAAATCTACTTCATCAAAGGCAGCCGATCTCCCTGCTTGTTCCAAATCATCACCACGTATACTTACCCCTCCCTCTCCTCCTCCAGAGAAAGCGCCAATATTCGAGAATGAGTTCTACGAAGTCAGAACTTCCCTAAAGGGCGGTCTAGGCTGTTTTGCAAAGGTGGATATTGAGTCTGGAACTATGATTCATTCCGAGGAACCTTTATTCTTATCTTCAATGGTGCAAATCTACTACAACTTTGAACAACTGACAGCGGAAAAACAAGCTGCTTATCTGAAGTTGCATTATTGGCATGGTCTTGCTGCTCACAAGGTTCTTGCAATTTTTCAGACTAATCGGTATGTGTATCCGCTTCAACTGATGAACTGTTATAGGGCGGCTCAAAGCGTGTGAGATAATTGCATCACTGACCCACCTTGTCCATAGTTTTCATGTACCAGGCGGCAAATCTGGGATTTTCCTGAATTCTTCTCGTTTTAATCACGCCTGTCCTGGTTTCTGCAATTGCACTTATGGTTTTCGTAAAGAGATCAACAAGATGGTATTCACAACCCTCAGTGATATAACAAAGGGTCAAGAAATCACAATTTCCTATGCGAATGTACCCACTAATTTATATCAAAACTATGGATTTTTTTGTGATTGTCCAGGATGTCCTCCAGGGAGTTTCGCGTCTAAGAGATGGGAATATGAGAATGATCTGAGAAGACAGGCGGAGAAGCCAATTGACAGAACGACCTACTTTGAGCCAGAACCGTATCCAGGGAATGAGGTTGAGGCGTGGGAGAGTGCTATGTTTGAGTGGTAGATTGGGGGAATGATAGGAGTGGAGAGTATGAAAGAGGGTGAGACATTGGGTTGTTGATGGATGTCTGAGGAGGATTTATGACATGGGACAAAAGCATTTTTAATCATTGCTTCAGCGGAAGATACCAAGTTGTTGGATAAGTTACCATGGGAAAACTTGAAAATGTGCACTTGACATAGCGCTGGATGTTATTAGTCATGGGGTTGCTACTGAAGTCCGGAATTGACGTTAAACTATACCATCTACTAATTGTGAGGATGGAGCAGTGATTGACTAGCGATTGGTTGTTTTTCAGTTAGTGAGATGTTTATCATTTTGAACATAGAAGTTTGGAAGACGCACAAAAATTTATGAAACATTTTCTATCAAAGACCAAGCAATTCTCTATGGTGACACGGGCGAGGCAGTGGTTTTTCCCCAACGCCATGTTTGGGATATCTTGGGAATTTGAAACTTAGGATAAAGATTGTAAGTTTCTGTCCGTAACAAACATAACAAAGGAGGTAGAAACGTAGATTCGAATCGAAGTCAGTAGTCTGTACCAAATGCAGACATTGAATTCGCAGAGCTTCTAGCTCCAAGTAATATCATGCTTATATATCTCCAAGTTCCACCCTCAATACACAGCTTTCTAAAACCCATCCCTCTATTTCATTCCTTCTATCACATCCATTACAAATATATAAAATATACACCACACCAAGCAAAATGAAAAAACCAACCTTCAGACTCCCGATCGCAACGAGAATAGGTCGCAAAGGAGACTGTATATCGCCATTAGCATCTCCATCTGAGACAAATCCTCCTTTGAATTCTCGTATGCGAAAAGCTGAGAAGACTAGTGTAGGGTGGAGAAGAAAAAGATGGGGGAGAAGAAGGTGAGGGAGAAAGCGGCGAGGGAGGCTCGTAAGGGGGGTGTGGAGATTGGGAAATAGAGGGAAATAGGGGAGGAGAGTGAGAGGAAAAGGGAAAGGGAGACAATGTGAAAGGTGGGGAGAGGGGGGGAAATGACGAGGCGGTAAAGGAGGATAATGCGTGAGTGAGTGAAAAAAGGGGAGCGCTGAAGTGATAAGGTAGTGGGGAAAGTAGTGATTAGTTAACGGCATTTGGGGAAGAATAGTAATGAAGATAAAGATGAAGATTCCAAGCTAAGGAGGGGAGAAACCAGTGAACTGTATAACCATGTTCATGTTGACTTTGGCAAATTAACTACGGTTAAGATCACTGCAGAAGCATGCAATCGAAACAAAAACATGAGACTAGTCTATTTTCGAGGCGGGCAGTCGCTGACTTGTGATGAAGAGAAATATGATACACAGTACAGGTGTGAACCTACAAAGTTGAACAGGCCATCTTTGAAGGGAAGAACCGGCTGAGAAATTGAAAGACGTATGGAAAACTTGTATGAGAAATTTGAATACGTGATTGGAAAAAAGGGAAGGTATAAAGGTAAGAGTTCTCGGTTCAGTATCTGGTTACGAATGCAATAGCACAGGAGGTGAATAACAACCATCACCACCAAGCAACGACCCACCAGCCAACTCAAACTTCACTCTCAATTCATTTGCTCCCTCAACTCTCATCTCAACTCTCACCTCAACTCATTACTTCATCCACAAAGCTCCACTTAAAATTCAAAACCCCTCCTCCAAAAACATCACACACCCCAATACCCCCCAAAGATTCTCCCTAAGCAAAAAAAAGCCACTCAAAGAAATACCTACCCATACTTCTTTCCACCCATCAAAACAGCAAAAGCTTCAGAGCGCGACGCTCTTTAACCCCAATGACCCACAATCGAATATGTTATCCTTTTGATAATTTATATATTCGATCATGTCACTGTCCGATCAAAGCCCTGACAATGCTAAGTAGAAAGGCGGACGACATTCTCGAGAATGATGAATTCTACCGCTGCGCCATCGAGACGTGTGGGTGCTTGTTGGTTGGTCGCGTAGTGGGATATATATTGACGAGCTGGAAGTGGTTTCGCTTGTATTGTAGGTGTAGGTTTATGCGATGGACTTCTTAAGCTGAAAGGCTTTGTGATGTTTTATAGAATTGTGGAAGTTGATATAGCTGGATTTTGTCGCTGGTGATCTCAAGGACTTTTACATGAACTTCCGTATGCGCTTCTTTAGCCTAGCCTTGTATTTTTTCTCTAAGTTGATGATGGCTGATGTACCGCAAATTAATGTCTACCTGGGAGACATCAGTTTACACGTTTATTTGTTGTGGAGTTTCTCGCTGCATATTGCAATGACTCTTCAAATCGCGCGAACGGCGAGTTCTTCCTTATTGATCATATTTCTCTCGCCATAATAGGTTGTCTCAAACATCTTGCACTTGCGGAGTCTTCGCACAATGGATCCTCCCGGATATGATTGATGGTTCCTTTCAAAAATCATCTGTTCCTCCCAAGTTCAAACTTCATTTCCCGCTTCTCCATTCGTCGCATTGCCCTCCGACTTCCCAGCATTCTTCCTCCTATTTCTATCCTTTGCTTTGCCCTTAATCTTTGCACTAACCGCCTCATGTTTGTTCTTCCACATCCCTCCATATCTATACTCTGGATGTTTGCCATCGCCATCTACTTTCCCTCCACTGACATCCTTCCAACATTTACCTGTACATACGAAATGCCATTTTTTCGTATCGTCAATTTGGCATCGTATCAGTACATCGCGAGGTGTGTGGCATATAGTACAGGGCTTGCTATGTGGCGACGGGGAAGTAGACGGCGAGCTTAAGTTTGCAGATGAGATCGTGGAGTCTTGGGTGTTGATGTTGGAAGTATGCTTCTCAGGAACTGAATCTGGATCTTCCCTATTCGTATCCGTATATACGGCTTGGTCTTCCGGCATTGTTGTAACCTTGATTTTTCATACGATAGGGTGTTATGTGATGTGATGTGATATGAATAGAATCCTGGTGTTTTTGAACATCATGAGTTCTCCTAAAGTAGAGAGTTCGGAAGTCAATGCCGAAGCTCTCTCCATATTTGTGGCTGTGACTGTGCGTATATTGCTGCTGTTATAACAGTTCGATGTTGAGTTTGGGAACTTAATTGGAGTGTTATGAGAATTATCCTGGAGTTTTACAAAAAGCAGCATTACCTTAGCCACACTCAGCCATAGCAAATCTACGTCATCTCGACTCCAATTTATAGAGTTTAGTTCATCATCCATGCGACTGGTCTTGCCAAGATTTGAAGTATTGTCTTTGTTGGGAGGGAGAGAAAAAGTATATAACGAAGCCACTTTCATTGACTTCATGGATATTAATACTCTTAATTATAAGAATTAACTACATCGAACACTTTCGTACATTGATCAATCAAAACATCATCTCCAATACCCGCTCAAATATCAATTAATCCGACTCAATTCCAACACTAAAGACATAATGGCTGCTTCATCTTCTGTAAGTATACTTTCTCTCATATCACATTGGAATTGTAGACATCTTTCTAACGATTTTGATTTTCATAGGCGGACGTATTTGCATACATTGTTGCAATCTTCATTCCCCCTTTGGCCGTCTTCTTGAAGACTGCATGTGGAGTTGACTTTCTTATCAATATCTGCTTGACCATCCTTGGTTGGATTCCAGGTGTTATCCGTAAGTTCACGTTCACGTTCACGTTCACGTCCATGTCTTGTGCTGTGTATTTGTCGATATACTTATGAATTTCATAGATGCCTGGTATGTTATCTCAAAACATGACCCAGCGAAATATGCTCCATAAGAAGGGGTATTATAGGGGGAAATGCCGGTGATGATTGGTGATGATACCTTGGGAGTGGATATATCTAGGAGGGTTTGGCGTTCAAGGTTGAAGGGAATAGGGTGAAGGGGATCTCTTCGACGATTCATTCTGAGATGAGGATATCCAAGGAGTAATATATTGTTTTTATACCATTCAGGAGTTATTCGAATTGATCAATCATACGCACCACAATCATACACACCACAATAATAATTATAAGAATACTGTATCATACTGTACATACAATAATCCATCTACATACATCTTCTCGAATCTATCGAATCGACATCACCTTGCTCACCAACATGCCCAAATTATTGTGTCAATGCTTGGAAATTCGATAGATCCTTCTGGATACCTAGTATGTACCTATCCTCGCCATCTAATTAAGCCCTACAGAGATAGTAAGATCGGATAAACCGGAAGTCATCAGTCCACTCAGTTGAAACCAATTGATAATATTTGGCAATTACTCGAGGGGCGGAGACACCATTATCTCTTGGACTGTTGGACAATTCGAATCTAACTCGACTATTTACGGATATTTACTAATAAGTATAAGTCTCTTGGAATGATGGATGTCAAGAAATGAAGAAAAGAAGGGTCCGAAAAAGATGTCAAGCATGATAGTTAAGCATAGCCAAGCGAAAGGTCCCTTTACTTCACCCAAGAACATATAAATAAATGTCATCCCCTCCATCTATCTACACTTTTCCACCCAATTCCTCTTTTAAAAAATCACCACCGTTTCACACTCGATTTCGACCATTTTATGCTATACTCACTGTCTATACCTAGGTATTTCCTTCATTTTCAAGGTTGGTAATAAATGGTTGGAGTTATTTATTCTCATCACCTCAGCTCTAAGGTATTTATACTCGTGGTCACTGCTTTGGGCTGTCATGGTTACAGTGTATAGCTCGGCGCACATCGCCATTTCTTCAATTGGTGTTGGAGAATGACAGCAAATTGCTTGGACGAGTAGCCCGATGGCTGAGAGAATCATTGCCGGCTCACTCATCTCCATTTCGGCTGCGCCGTGTTTCAGCGGTTAAAAGGTCTGATTGTATCTTAGCAGAAGTAATAACTCATCTTTTGAGAATTTTTCTCAAAAGCCGGTTTGTTCAAATTGCTGTCGCCAAGCTTGTCGGCTGGGTGCTTGGCAGCTGTGGTGTCAAAAATGCCTTGAATTGTCTCTCCTAATTTTTGAGGGATTATTCACGCTGCAATCTTATTTTACTTCGATTTCACCGCCAGAATCGTGTTTTTTTTCTTGAATAGTGAATAGCACATCGTGTCTTTTGAGGTCTGGACCCAATTAATTTCGCAGGAACGAACGAACAATCAAGACAATCATAACAACCTCTTCTTACAGAGAACGAAAAACGGCAACGACGACCTGCAATTTCGAAGTCATTACGTCCACCTTCCACTCTCCACATCCAAATCTCCCATCATGCCTCGAACAGAGCGACCAGCTCATAGACGCAAACACCATACAACCAGTCATTCGACGGCGCCAAAGGAAGATATCGAAATGTCTTCACCACCGCAAGTTCACGGCCGTGGCCACGGCCACGTTGCGGAGGTTTCAGTCGAAACTAGTACTGGACGTTCGACGACCGCACATCATAACTTATCAGAAACTCTGCACCACATGCTACCTACACATAGAGTCAATCATAAGGGTTACAAAGTTACAAAGGGTATTCAGCCTGACGGAGAAAGTGGTAGACGCGGTATACACCCTTTCCATTTCTTCAAGATTTGCTGGACTTCGACCAGTGATGCTTCTCGACTCGTCAACATTCTCTGGCCTGTTGTGCCTGCAGCACTCGCTGTTCGATATGCCAGGGGCGACCTCCATCTGGTGGTTTTTATCCTCAATTACATCGCGATGGTGCCCTGTGCGAATTTGATTGGCTTCGCCGGACAGGAGCTGGCGAGAAAATTACCAAAGGTGTTTGGCATATTGTTGGAAACCACACTTGGAAGTCTTGTGGAGATGATTCTTTTTATAGTCCTTCTAACAAGGTCAGGGAGTGTCATCTTATTTTATGTTTACAATCACTAACCCGCTCAAACAGAGATGAATACGGGGTCATTCAAGCTGCGATTTTAGGCTCAATGCTAGCTACCTTACTATTATGTTTAGGGATGTGCTTCTTTGTTGGTGGTCTAACACGAGATGGTAGGCTCAATTCCTCGTATTCTTTGGTGTTTGTTGCTAAAATACATTTTAGAGCAGGTATTCGACGAAGCTGTTAGTGAAGTTGGAAGTGGACTGTTGTTGACGGCGTAAGAGACTTTCTTATAGACAACTTACGTATCGCTGACTTTACAACAGTGGACTTGGCCTCATTATACCCTCGGCATTCGCAACGGCCCTGTCATTGAAAACCTCTGCGGAACTCACCCCTGAGGTTATCACAGAAAAAGTCCTCAACATATCTCGCATCACATCTGTACTTCTCATAATTGCTTATGCTACGTACGTCTTTTTCCAGATGCGAACTCATCACAGCATATACGATGCTATTCTGGAAGCAGATGAACAAAAGGACGAGGATCGCCATAGAGATTTGCAAAAAGACAAGCTTACCTTGACTGAGTGTGTTATTGCTCTTGCAATCTCAATCGCTCTAGTGACTCTCATTGCCATCAGTTTGGTCGAACAGATACCAACAATTGTAAAAGAACATAATATCTCTGATGCATTTATGGGCCTTATCCTTGTTCCTCTGGTTGAAAAAGCTGCCGAGCATCTTTCTGCGGTAGATGAGGCTTACGACAATCAGATGAACTTCGCGTTATCCCATGTTCTTGGCGCAACGATTCAAACAGCATTGTTTAACGGTCCTTTGGTTGTCATCATTTCCTGGGGTTTGAATAAGGGATTGGATCTCAACTTTGAGATGTTTGATATCGTTGTCCTGATCCTAGCCATTTTGGTCGTAGGAAATTTCTTACGGGACCAAAAGAGTAATTATCTAGAAGGGGCTCTCTGCGTGATTGTTTACATCATTATCGCAGTGGCCGCTTTCTTTTATCGTAAGTGAAATATTCAATCGTGGAAATCTCCGCGGTCACAAAAACATATTGCGGTTGAGCTAACTTGCCATTCAGCCAATCCACCAGAAGAACATGCTGCCGAAGGCGAGGCGACTAGTGCAGCCATAGAGGCTGTTCGTCGTCTTTTTTGATGTTATGCATGAAAGAATTCTGGCCCGGAGTTCGATAATACAAATCTGAGCCTAGCCGTCTTGAAAGGTTCCGATACGTACTATTCATATCCATCATATAATACGACGGTTAAAATGTAGAGTTGATGTAAAATATAAATAGGTTTTAGGTTTTTATCGCTTTCTAGCGATCAGTCACGAATAATACATGAAGTTTGGTTTTTGTCTTTTGTTCCAGTTCTGCAATACCTCTAGAGGCTAGCAAGGATTTTCATCGCTTTGCATTCCTGTCTAGTTTTAGACATCTTATCGTTGATTGTGATCAAGAAGGCATACTCAATAATGACGATTCATATTTAGACACTAGCTAGCAAGGAAGCAGATGTACTCTGACCATTGATAAAAGCTTGGTTGGGTTCTCCCGGTATGCCTAATGACAGGTCCATGCGATATATCCTTGCCGAGTGGTTGGTTCTAGAGCCAAGGTTCGCTTATCTCTGCGGGAACTTGGAAGGTTTGAGCGTAGTGGCACGCGAGCCTTTTTCTAGCTTCCTTTTCGAGCTTAAGTCAGGTCCCCCACTGATTCACCCCTCAGTACCTCGAATCAGCACTTACTTAGTTAAGAAGGCGTGAAAATCTATTGCCAGAGAATTGATAATTCTTTAGGTAAATTGATATAGTAGAGACATTAATCGGACGAGGAGGCCAATCACTCTTTTCTTCTATGGGTAGCTATCTGCCATTTTGGGGTATCAGTGTACTATCAAGGTATAATGGATGATGACATACATGATCTGAATGACAATTGCCAATGGCGAAGAAAAATTCTCGTGTTGATCAACAAGCTATCTCTGCTGCTGAAGGTACCCTCGGCACCTGTACTGTGCATTGTCAAAGATATAAATATGTCATCTCCCATTTCTCTTATGATCTCCTGTTGTGTGACTCTCAAGTTCTTGTGCATTTTCCATTGATATCGACAAGATGCGTGGCCTGAATTCCCTAGCAGTTTTGCTCGCTGCCTCTGTTACTTCAGTGGTAGCTATTTTGCCACATCACGAAGCACATGCGAAATATGCAAAAAGAGCACAGCCAAGGAAAGTTCTCCCCAGGCAACCTGCAGTGAGGCCAAGATCGATCTCGAAGTATTTGACAAATTCAACAGCTTGTAAGCCAATTTCCATTCCCTGCCACACATTACTCTAGAAGGGTGCATGACCAGAATATGTATTGATTTTAATTCTAGCATTTGCCGTCAATGGAACTGGACTACCCGAAATCGACTTTGATCTTGGTGAATCATACGCCGGAACTTTACCCATTAGCACTAATGCTAGCGATACAAATCGATTGTGGTTTTGGTTTTTCCCATCCGAAAACCCTTTGGCGGAGAAGGAGATCACAATATGGTTAAATGGCGGTGTAAGTTTATATACCCAAGATCTTCATCTCCTATCTCAAAAGACATTGCTAAATATGTTTGTAGCCAGGGTGTTCATCTCTTGACGGATTGTTTCAAGAAAATGGACCTTTCAGTTGGCAATCTGGCACATATGCACCAATTCCAAATCCATACTCATGGACCAACTTGACCAACATGATCTGGATCGATCAACCCGTCAGCACTGGATACTCGCCTGGAGATATCCTTGTTGACGATGAGATCGATGTTGGAAACCAATTTGCCGCATTCTGGAAGAACTTCATTGATACCTTTAGCATGCAAGGCTACAAGATTTACATCACTGGTGAGAGTTATGCTGGGCAATATATTCCATACATTGCTAGTAACTTCTT